CCTGAGCGCCTGCTCTGTGCCACTCCTGGTGCTGGTGCTGGGGATACGAGGCTGAGCAAGACCAGACACGTCCTACCCCACTGCGTTTTCAGTCTAGAGCGGCAGACTGCCACCAAGCAAGGAGGCACGCACGGAGTCACATGTTCCAATCTGTCATGACAAGGACACGGACATGGAGCTATCTGAGAATACAAAAGGGGAACTGGAGGTCTACTTTACCAGAACTTTACGTACCTATTCACCAATGCTAGGAAACAGATCATGGTGATGATCACCCAACACTGTAAACATACTTAATGCTGCTGAATTATACACTTAAAAACGACTGAAGTGGGGCCTGGCGCCTGTACCTCAGTGGTTAGGGTGCCAGCCACATACACCAAAACTGGCAGGTTCGAAACCAGCCTGGGCCTGCTAAACAACAATAACTGCTGCAACCATAAAAACCCCAGGCATTGTGGCGGGCACCTGTAGTCCCAGCTACTTGGGAGATGGAGGCAAGAGAATTGCTTGAGCCCAGGAGTTGGAGGTTGCTGTGAGATGTGATAGCACAGCACTCTACCCAGGGTGAAAGCTTGAGGCTCTGTCTCAAAAAAAAAAAGTTTTCAAAAAGTTTTCTTTTAAACCTGAAGATGGTTTTGGAAACCACCTGAACGCAGTTGGATTAGAAGTGAGGGCAATCCTGAGACAGTGCCCTTATAGTTGGACCACATCCTGGCAGGTGGTGTCAGAATGTTGGGCAGACTTAGTGGTCCAGAGGACCTGGCTCTCAAACCTTGAATTGGCTAATTTCACGCAGGGTTAAGCAAAGTGACATCCATTAGAACAATACAGAGTCTTGAAATGTGTGTCTTCGCAAGAGAAAGGACATCGAGGCAGAGACTGAAAAACGTTCAATTCCTGGATATAATCATGGGGCCACCCATGGCATGGAATGGCAGGTTTGTTATGATTGGTTACTAAAAGTAAAAGTTATCAGTGGAATTTAGAAATGATGACTCTAACTTGCTAAATACATAAGGAAATGTAAAGTAACAAATAAAAAGGAAAACATCCAATTCCTTATTACTTATTTACCTATTGCTAAAGGAGAGTAAGGAAGAGTGACAGTGGATCCTGACACGGGACCAGGCCGGGTTGGATTCTGGCCAGTCTCAGCTATAGCTACTAACCTCAGAGCCACTTCCCAAGGGAAAAGTTACGGTGAAACAAAAGATAGCAAAGAAGATGGGAAGGATTCGTCAGAGAATGAGAGTAAAAAGGGAAAGGTAAATGGGAAGTCAAGGGACTTGTCCTGTGGAAATTGTAAATGGTTATTTAAAACTGAAAGGAATAGAGTGGGCGTTGATGGGGCAAAATAACAGCCTTAGTGCTGCACCCTCAGAAGCTGGGAGGACTGATGGGCACCCCTACTGGTTCTCCCAACTGGTTCTAGGCCATCCAGAACAGCCGACAGCTGACCGACACCCAGCTAAGATCCGCAGATCCTGCTGCTGATGGCACATGCATAATCAAGCCCGGTCAAGGCAAGACAAACCACCCGAGTGACCTGTAGACTTGTGAGTAATAACAAATGGTTATTGTTCCAAGCCCCTGGGTTTTGAGGTGATTTGTGTATGCTGCAATAACTAACTGAAGCATGAGGAAAATCTGGTCACACGGTCCATCAAATCCTTAGAGAAAGCCAGACACGGTGACTCACACTTGTAATCCTAGCACTCTGAGAGGCCAAGGCTTATTGATTGCCTGAGCTCAGGAGTTCAAGACCACCCTGAGCAAGAGCGAGACCCCATCTCTAGTAAAAATAGGAAAACTAGCCAGGCGTTGGAGGTGGGCGCCTATAGTCCCAGCTACTTGGGAGGCTGAAGCGAGAGGATCTCTTGAACCCAAGAGACCGAGGTTGCTGTTGTAAGGTAGTGGACTCAATCAAGTCACAAAGCCGGTGTCCAGCAATAGCTACAGTTTATTTGGCACCTTGGCGAAGGTGGCTGAGACTCAGTAGATGTCAGCTGCGAAGAGCTAGAGTGCTTATCCTTTAAAGGTTTTAGCTAGGGTAGGAGGGGAGAGTGTTTCTTTGGTGTGCTAGTGACTGTTGCCAGGTTCTGTTCCAGCTGGCTTCCTGCTGAGACTGTTCTGTTCGTTTAAGGTTTAGCCCCCTGGAGCCATTGTGTTCGCTAGCTCCTCCTTTCTTCTGCCTGGGTCCCAGAAGGGGATGGTTTCAGCAAAGGTCACTGAACAGCCAAGATGGAGTACCTTATGCTCAAAGTGGAGTGGCCTATGCTTGTTCTGTTTTTGGAGTGCCTCCGACCAACCTACCAGCTGTGAGTTATGATGACACCATGACACTCTACCCAAGGCCACAGAGTGAGATTCTATCTCAAAAAAAGAGAAAAAAATCCTTAGAGAAGTTTGAAGATTTCTTTTCTGAGCCTTTAAGAATCTCCTTTCCTGTATTCTTGACATCAGCTCTCCCCATCTCCAAAGAAACGTCACCAGCCCATGGCTCTGCTGTGTCCCTCCTGCTCAGCTGCTGCTTTCCCTCCTCTCGGAGGTCCTTGGTACAGGAACAGCCAGCCTTTCAGCGCAATCGCCTGCCAAGGGCTCTGATTAAATCTGCCTGCTGGATTGTAGGTTGGTGGGAAGCCAGATTCCCTTTCTCTTTCCCGAGGGCTGGGGAGACAAGTGTGGCCCCGGGGCTCTCGGGAGCAGACACTTGACAGAAGGGTAAGCCCAGATCTCACTCTTGGCCTTGGAGCCCGGGCCTTACTTCCATTCCCTTGCCTAGAGGCCGGCTAGAGACTGATGCTGCTCTGCGGGCCTGGAAGCAGCTGGCAGCCTAGGCCTCTGCAAGCTCAGCTCTGAAATCCAACTTTCTCCCTGTGTCTTTCAGACTCTCCCAGCCCTTCTGGGTCAAGGTACCATCTGGCCATAGGTTTAGCAACTGCCAAACTGTTTTCCTTAGAGGGCTTCAAGCAGAAGCAGAAAGTGATCTCACATTTTAATGGGATCCCTCTGGTTGCTGAGTAGCAAGGGAGGGACTGCAGCCAAGCCAAGGCATAAGCAGGGAGGCCACTCAGGAGCTGCAGGATGCTGGGAGCCCCATGTGAGAAATGTTTGGATCCTGGACATATTCTGAGGGCAGAGCCAGTAGACTTGCTGATGGGGAACAAAAGGAGATGGCCTCAAGATTCAGGGACCAAGCAGCTGGAAGGGTACAGATGAACTAAGGTGGGGAAGAGCCGACTTGGCTCAATGCAGGGAGAGAAAGAGCTCAGGATGTTGGGGTGGGAACCCAGAAATCAAAGCTCTAATACCAGCCATGCCACACACTAAGAACAACACTCACTAATCACAATGCCAGGCCCTCTTCCCGGCTCCACCCCACATCATCTCCATCCCCTCCCCGCAGTCCTTTATATAAGGTGGACTTGACCATCCTCATCTCACAGAGGTCAGGAAGGCTTGGGGGGACACATAGCAGCAGAGCTAGAGCTCAACCCCCAAAGCCCGTGCTCCTAGGCAAGCATAGAACTGCCTCCTGAATCGTATATCCACTTTCACTTGCTGGACTTCAGCTTCTGCACCTGAGAATCAAAGGTTAGGGGTGCACATCTCTCTGTCCTGGCAGTATAAATGTGCCCACTGTGGGTCTGTGACCCGCTTTCTGACTGAGGACATTGAGTGCCAACACGCAGCATGCTGGCTTTGAGAAACTGCTGCAGTGAAAAGCAGGACAAAGAAAATGCCCCGAATACCCACATTCTGGTTCTGAGAATATTGTGATGTATTATGAATGGGGCCTTCTGAAGTGTGGTTTGAACACCTAGTTAAATAATAATTCGTTCCTGGCTATGAGACATTTTGAAGGATAAGCTCTAATGAAATAATATTATGAGTTGTGAATTGGAACATTAAATTAAACATCACTTACATTCATTTCTGTCATCTCTAGCTTTCTTCTTGGGGAAAAATGAATTTCTATGAAGAGTCGAGGTTCTTGAGCCCCTCGCATGGATTTTATGTGTTATTAATAAGCCAGTCTTTAGGGGGTGGGAATAAGGAGAAACAGAATCTTGTTGCAGGATTTTTACTCAGATATTATTCCATAGCCTCAGTTGGCATCATAGTCTGTTTGGGCTGCTGTAACAAAAATACCAGAGACTGGGTGGCTTCAACAAGAGACATTTAACACAGTTCTGGAGGCTGGGAAGTTCAAGATCAAGGTACCAGCAAATCTGGTGTCTGAAGAGAGCTTGCTTCCTCGTTTGTGGGTGGTCATCTTCTTATGTCCTCATGTGGTGGAGAGCAGAGAGAGATGAAGCAAGCTCTCCTGTCTCTTCCTATGTGTACAGGGCACAAATCCCATCTGTGAGGGCTCCACCCTCATGACCTAATTACCTCCCAAAGGCCCCAACTTCTAATATCATCATATTGGGGACTAGGATTTCAACTTAAAAATTTTGGGGAAACACAAACATTCAGTCCACAGCTTTAGGGGAGTAAATGTTCAAGGTGTTGGTCTCTGGGCTGGACAGATGCTCTGTGTGAGTTTCCAGTCAACTGCTTACTAGCAGGAGACAAGTTATTTAACCTTGCTGAGACTGCAAGACTGGGGCAGATACAAGGACCCTTCAGAAAATTCATTCCTTGTGATTTCTCCTTTAACCCATGAGGCATTTAAAAGCCTATTGTTTAATTTCCAAATATTCCTGTAGTCCTATTTACTCAGGAGGCTGAGGCAAGAGAGCTGCTTGAGCCAGAGTGTTTGAGGTTGCTATGAGCTATGACGACACCACAGCACTCTAGCCTGGGCAACAGAGTGAGACTCTGTCTCAAAAAAAAAAAAAAAAAAAAAAAGTTTCTAAATATTTATGGAATTCCTAAATTTTCTACTTTTTTAAATCTCTAATTTAATCCCACTGTGGTCAGAAAATCTATTTCCATCTTTTTATATGTATTGAGACTTGCCTTTTTCTCATCCTATTTTATTTTTTATTCCGTCTCCATAGTGACTGTCAAAAATTGCCAATGCCATCTACGTTGCAAGTTGTCGGTGTAGGGTAGTTGGGAAAAGTTTTCCTTTAGCAGTAATCTTGCCTCAGATAAAAACCTCATTGGCTTTAATACTTACACTGCATGAAGAATATTTTAAATGTGCTTAAAGAGAATGTATATTCTGCTGTCATCTGGTGAAGTGGTTTGCACTGGTCAGTAGATCAAACAGGAGGACGTTCTACATCCTTACTCATTTCCTGTCTTGTTCTATCTATTTCAATTTTATCAGTTTGCTCTCCATAAATTACGATAGTTATATTCTCTTGGTTTATTGACCTTTATTATAAATGCTTTTTATTCTTATGAAAATGTCTTTGTTTCTAGTGTTATTTCTTAAAACCTATTTTGTCTGATATTAATATAGCCACTCCAGCTCTCTTTTGGTTTGCATGGCATAGCTTTTTCCATCTTTTTTTTTTTTTTAGAGACAGAGTCTCACTTTATTGCCCTTGGTAGAGTGCCGTGGCGTCACACAGCTCATAGCAACCTCTAACTCCTGGGCTTAGGCGATTCTCTTGCCTCAGCCTCCCGAGTAACTGGGACCACAAGCTCCTGCCACAACGCCCGGCTATTTTTTTTTTTTTGCAATTTGGCCAGGGCTGGGTTTGAACCCGCCACCTTCAGTATATGGGGCCGGCACCCTACTCACTGAGCCGCAGACACTGCCCTTTTTCCATCGTTTGACTTTCTGAAAAAGTCTACATTTCTCCTTCACAATATTTTTTATCTTTAAATTTTTTTTTTTTTTTTTTTTGAGATAGAGCCTCAAGCTGAGCCCCTGGGTAGAGTGCCGTGGCTTCACTGCTCACAGCAACCTCCAACTCCTGGGCTCAAGCGAGTCTCCTGCCTCAGCCTCCCAAGTAGCTAGGACCACAGGCGCCCGCCACAACACCAGGCTATTTTTTAGTTGCAGCCATTATTGTTGTTTGGCGGGTCCGGGCTGGATTCGAACCCGCCACCTTAGGTGTATGTGGCTGGCGCCTTAGCCGCTTGAGCCACAGGTGCCGAGCCATCTTTAAATCTTTTAATTTTTGTTTATGTTTTAAATTTTAGATTAATATGAGGATACAACCATTTAGGTTATAGTCTTTACATTTGTTGGGTAAGGTTGCTGTTGTAGTTGTGTCTCGCCCCCATTTTTTGAGACAGAGTCTCACTATGTCGCCCTGGTTGAGTACAGTACAGTCATAGTTCACAGCAACCTCAAACTCTTGGGTTCACGTGATTCTCTAGCCTCAACCTCCCAATAGCTGGGACTTCAGGCACCCACCACAATGCCCGGCTATTGGCTATTTTTATTTGTATTTATTTTTTAATCTTTTTTTATTTGCTTTTTTTGTGCAGTTTTGGCCAGGGCTGACTTGAACCTGCCACCCTTGGTATATGGGGCCGGTGCCCTACTCCTTGAGCCACAGGTGTGAGTCACTGCACCTGCTCCAAGTTGGTGGATTTTTTCTTTCAACACTTTAAATATTTCTTGCAGTCTTTTCTTGTTTGCCTTGTTTCTGGAGAGAAGTTGTCTTTTCCCTCTTTGGCTTCTTTCATTATTTTTCTTTACCTTTACTTTCTGTAGTTTGAAAAAAATATGGCTAGGTATAGGGTTTTTTGCATTTTTTCTGCTTCGTGTTCTCTGAGCTTCCTGGGTCTGTCATTTTGAGTCAGACATTAATTTGGAGGAAGTTCCCAATTATTATTATTTCAAATATTTCTTCTGCTCCTTTCTCTCTCAGTATTCCCATTATATATACAGTTATCCCATAGTTCTTAGATCTTCTGAGGAGTGGGGTTAAAGACTTTTTCTCCTTGCTTTTCAGTTTTGGAGATTTCTGCTGAGATATCTTCAAACTCAGACATTCTTTCTCATCTGTGTTCAGTCTACTAATAAGCCCATCAAAGACATTCTTCACTTCTGCTTTCAATCTGCAGCATTTCTTTTTGACACTTTCTTAGATTTTCCACCTCTCCACTTCCATCACCCATCTGTTCTTGCGTGTTGTCTGCCCTGGGCACATTAATCAGAGTTTGAAAAAATTCAAACTATTCATCTGGTCTGGCAATTCCAATGTCCCTGCCATATCTGAGTCTGATTTAGGGGCTTTCTCTGTCTTTTCAAACTATGGTTTTTGCCTTTTTAGAATGACTTTTTTTTTTAATGGAGATAGAGTCTCACTGTGTCACTCTTTGTAGAGTGCTATGGCAGCATAGCTCACAGCAATCTCAAACTCTTAGACTCAAGCAATTCTCTTGCCCCAGCCTCCCTAGTACTGGGACTACAGGCACCTGCCACAATGCCCAACTATTTTTTTGTTTGTTTGTTTAGCTGGCCCAGCCGGGTTCAAACCCACCAGCTCCAGAGCATGTGGCCAGCACCCTAACCACTGAGCTACAGGCTGCCCTTTGAAAATGACTTGTAATTTTTTTTTTTTTTGCTAGACAAAATGTACTGAGTAAAAGCAACTGCTAGATATAGGCTTTAGTGATGTGATGGTAGGATGTGAGGGGAAAGAAATGTCCTCTACTCTTGTGATCAGGCCTCTTGCAGACAGCCTGTGCCTCTTGGTGTCGAAGGTAGCCTGTGGTCCTCAGTTCACCCCCCTCATTTAGGTGGGACATGATAGCTCGAGTGGGCTGGAGTTGGGCATTTCCTTTGCTCTACGTGGAAGGTTAGAGCTAGCTGAGATGGCTATTTACCCATCCCCAGGTCAGTTCGGTTAACTAGCTAACTACTTTCCCCTAAGGGCGCAGCTTGTTAAGAAAAAAAAGCCAAACCCTCTGTGTACAGTCACACATGGCTTAATGATGGGGATATGGGGATATGTTCCGAGACCATGAGGCGATTTTGTCATCGTGGGAGCATCATCACACGCATGCACAGTACTGGAAGCACAGTACGGGGGCATAGCCTGGTGCTCCCAGGAATCAAGGCTGCACAGCACGGAACTGCACTGAGTACTGCAGGCAATTGTAACTCAGGGGCAAGTATTCGTGTGTCCAAACACATCTAAACATAGAAGAGGTACTGTAAAAATATGGTGTTATAATCCTACAGGACCATGGTCATATATATGGTCTGTCATTGATCAAAATGTCCTTATGGGGCACATGACCGTATTTCAAAACAGTTCCTGTTTCCTTCTCCCTGCCAGAAGCACAATCTCTAATATTTACTGTGGAGTGTGTGACTGTCACACTCTGCTCACTGAGCCTCCTGCTCTCGTCGCTCATTGTCAGGCTTCCCTTCCTCTGCGCTGCCTCCCCCAGAGGTTCCAGCCCACAGGTTGCTGCCATGGAAAGTTGTGAGTCTCTGTCTGTCTCTCTACCCTGGCAGGCAGTGGCTTGCCCTATGACCTCACTGGTCTTACAGATCTAAGAAGAGCTGATTTTTCAGTTTGTTCAGTTTTCACTTGTTTTTATTAGAGTGGTGGGTGACTTCCGAGCTCCACATGTCCCAGACCAGGAACTGAAATCCTCTGCTCAGTTTACATTTTTTTTTTT